TTAACAGTTATTCCTCTGATTTTGACTTATTGTTAAAAATATTTAGATGGACATATATTTAACCATGATCTGTAATGTATGTTGCCTGAATATGTCAATGAAGAGGGATAATTATGTCTGTCTTATGCGAGATATGCTGCCATTTGTGAAGCTGCATTTATGTAGAAGTGGCAGAAAAAAAGGTATATTTCTTAATAAATCAATGGTAAATTACAAGTTTCCTGTACCTACCTTGGTTTAAAACAGTGGTTCCCAAACTTTTTGGCATCATGCCCCCTTTTTAATTTTTGAGAAACCCTCACCCCCCCCCTCCCATAGCAGCAAAACTTGTTGAGCAAAAGAAAAAAAAAAGGCCGGGACCGAAAAACAAAAATAGCAGCGAAACTTTGGTGGAAGGGGAAGCTGGGTTGCCTCGTACCCCCTGCCCCCCGGATTTTCTTCATTCCCCCCCCAGGGGGCACGCCCTCCAGTTTGGGAGCCCATGGTTTAAAACATAGAATGCACTTGTTTCCTTAGAGTTCAAAAAAAGTTACTGCTTCTGTAACTGGTTGAAAAGTGTAAAGTTTTTGTTCATCTGTTCTTCCATGCTTGTTTTTTTTCAAACATATATTTCCATGCTAATTTTTTAGACTCAATACTTGTCTTGTGTATCACTGGGTTAAAGTGAATTACCATTGAGTTAATAGTGCTTTGTTCCATACCTTTAACTATATACAATTCAGATCCTTATAAAAACAAAGGAGTCTTGTGGCACCTAAGAAGCAAACAGATTTATTAGGGCATAAGCTTTTGTGGGTAAAACCCACTTCATTACACACACATGCACACACACCCCTCTAATTTCCACTAGAATTCATCTAATGTGTATATATATAATATATTAGAAGCAATATTATATTTGTGACTAGTGGTTAGCATGTTGGACACCACGGCCGTAGAACATTACAGTTCCATACACTTCACATTTAATCTAATGTGAACAACTATTCTGATAAGTTAAAAACATTTGATTGCTTAGTCTGTCATGTTGATTGCAATTCATTATACCATCACACAGGAATCTGAAGTCAAATAAATTGTTAGATAATTGCTAGTTCATTTATTTCCTAAGTGATACTTCAGTCTAAATCCTCAGGTTTACATGGCATCACGTAGTAACTTATTATATATTTTTACTCCTGCCCCCAGAGACTGAGCCAAGCCAAATGCTGATTTGGCCCACAGCATAACTTACAGCAGTATCAGGGCTGCTCTAAATTACAGTGGTTTGAAACGACCCTAAAAGAATGTTATGTCAGTTGGGACTATAAGGGTATTGTGTGCTCCAGCCACATTACCTTATTCTTCCCCACATGATGCCGGGGCTGAACTGTGAATGGGAGGGTGTGGAGTTGGCAGTATGGTCTTGTAAGTCCACAAGTAATTTAGGGTGAATCTTTAGCTGCCCATTTAGGAATTTAGCCTGGGCAGGATCTGACTCCTTATTTAGTCTTCTGCAGCATGCATACTCTCTTGCTGACACTTGAGTCATCACTTGATTGTGCCCATGTGGAGTCTTATTATTAGACAATATTTTGAGGTGGGAATTGAAATTATTGGGAGAAATGTTTCACAGTGCATGTGTCTCTTGGGAGACGTCTGTACTGCACCCTTCTTCCGCAAAAGCTTACACAAATGAAGAGCAGAGTAGAATATGGTTGTGCTTCATTTGCATAATTAATTAGGAGCAGTTTTTGCGCAAAAAGCTTTTGTGCAAAAAGGAGCTGTGTAGACAAAAAAATTCCTGAAAAAATGAGGAAGAACTGCTCTTGCACAAGAGGGGGTTTTTGCACAAAAAGGAGCCGTCTACACAGCTTCTTTTTGTGCAAAAGCCTCTTGTGCAAAACCAGCCCCTAATTAATTATGCAAATGAAGCACAACCATATTCTACTCTGCTCTTCATTTGTGTAAGCTTTTGCGGAAGAAGGGTGCAGTATAGACGTAGCCCTAGCGTGTGTGGGTATCCAGTATGACTACATACTAGTCCTGTTATTGCTTATATAACAGTCACTTAGGACTTAGGTCTTATTGCAGGTAGTAGGCTCTTATTAATATGTGTCCTGAAAAATCTGCTACTGGATCTGCATATATTACTTGCAAGAAAGCAATTTTTTCAAGCTACACAGTGATGCACTCCTGACAACAAAATCAAGCCATTAGTGTAACATGCAGAATTATTGGCTCCAAAGAGCCATCCTTGAAAGAGAAAGCACTATAATGAGAGTGTGGAAACAGATATATTTTCTAGTACTTGTTTTTTTGCTTGTTTTTATTTTTAAAACGGGAAAAAAGAATACCTGGAATGATTTATATTTAATTGAGGATTGCATGCCATCAGATAGGGTAAATGTTTTCAGACCATTTATCATCAGTGGCTTTTCAAGATCTCTAAGGAGTACATAGTACATATTTACCTTAGCTTGGCTAGGTCAAGGGAAATAAAGCAAGAATAATAGATGCAACTGTGATATGTGAACAAAACTGGAAACCTTGTAGGCAAAATATGAGATAAATGTCTTCGTCTGACCTCCATTGTGTCTTCATAAATTTGCAAAAATTACAAGCTATTTTTTAAAAAAGAGAGATTATATTATAATCTATTTTTAAAACATTGGATTACTTGGCTGGGTTTTTGATCATTTCTAAATTATATAGTTTTTCAGAGCAGGGGCTAATTGCATTTTGTGTCGCTCATTATTTAATATGTTCTGTTTTACTAGCACCTTTAAAAATACCAGGTATAGGTTTCTAGGTTATGTCTTTTATGAATTTGTGTTTAATATATGTAACTGGTAAAATACATAGAGCACATGACACTAGAATCCTCCTAATGCTGGTGAGTGATCCTTTGATCCGTTCTTGATTTGTCTTGGGGTTTTCCCCGTGCAAGACAGTTGTGCAAAAATGTTTATGTATCATGTCCTCTTTTAAAAACTGACTGCTGGTTCTGATTTTTCATTTTTGCTTCTTTACAAAGTGAGATCTACAAACACCAGGTACACGACGTATCAAAAAGCCTTGGCTACCAAACAGAAAATTAAGGCATAATTGAGTTTTTTCCATCAGAAGAACCCTACAAGGGTTCATTTTGACGTTTTAACATTTACATAGCATTTAGTTTTATTAACAAGCTTAAAGGTAGTAAGACAAGTATAGAATAACCTAATTGTCAGTAATCTTAGCCCAGACGGAAACTTGAGAACTGAAACAAATTTGAGCTTCAGTATGTACATTCTTTATCACAGTAGGGAACATAAAGAAAACTGTTGCAAAATATTCCAAATATAACCAAAGGGTACATTGTTGATTCAGCAAAACTAGGTGAAAAAATGGTTTCATAATTAATCTGATGAGGAAATTCAATCTGATATTTTAGGAACAAACTATTGTACTACCTCAAGCAGCTTGTAAATTAACGTTTACCTTGATTCTTTTTTAATGAATGACTTAGTGGAATTTATGACATTTTATGTATCTTCTTTTCTTCTGAGTTAAATTTGCAAAATGCTTCCTTCCACTCCTTTTAATTTGTTTTTTTCCCTTCTTGTCTGAAAATATTTATTTGCTAAGATTTTTTTTTCTTCTGTCTTTACATCTCATCTGAAAGATGGCAACTCCAGCAGTATCATAATCCCCCAAGACCATCCTGGGCCATTGATTCAGTAGTGACCAAAGAATTTCTTTTAAATTTAACTTTTTAACTCTGAATTTTGTGCTTTTTTTATTAATTTGTTTTTTTGATAGCTGAAACATCCTTGCAGGTTTTTGTTGTTGTTGTTTTTAAATCCTTGATTACTGTAGGTACTTCCAACATTATCTCCAGTTTAAGTTTAAAGACTTTGGTGAAGAGTTATAATTTAGGAGCACCATTTCCCCCATCCCTCCATATCAGAGTTGCTGAAAAGATTAGGGTCACAACTTGTGACTACTGGAAATTGTGGGTCAGGGACTGGGCGCTTAGTGTAGTCATACAATATATAACATTGGCCCAAAGCACAAAAAAATGCATCCTCGGCCCCCGATAGTATGCTCTGAAATGGAAGTTATCAGAGCAGCAGTTACTGCTGGTAAATACCCAATCATGGTTTTGTTTTTAACATTTTTATTCAATGGAGTATCCCTAAGCTTCTACAGAGCAGCTTTTTATCATCCTACAAAGGTGACTCATGAATCAGATGAGCAATAGTCACAGGGTTTTCACCTTTCTCTTAATGTTGGGCCATGTGTTTAGCTTCCTGTGTATCAGCAGGCCTGTGAGAGAAAGTTTGATAGCTTCCTTAAATCATAGCATGTTTCTATGTCAGCCATTTTGGAGTACTGAATAATGCAGTTTGTGTCTTGTTTAAGATCTGCGAGTGTCATTTTAGTGATGATCCCAGTAACCGAAGGAACAGAGTCCTGGAGATACACTCCAACTGAGTACCCCAGGTTGCCCCCAAACTTGTTTCTTGTAAATCATTTTGCCAGATTACTTTTTATTATGAAGCAAATTTGGCTGAAATGTGTTTGAAATAAATGATTGTTAGTTTTATATACCATCATTCAGGAGTTAAAATAGTATGTACACAGACCTTAACTCTAAAACAGGAAAAAACATATTTAAAAAAACCTTTTATAAAATAAACAATTTTCAAATGCATCATATTTAAAAAGCCAGTAACTGAAATTCAAAAAGCAACTATTTACAGACTGAGTATATTTTAGTTATTAGTAACATGCTAAATAGCTAGTTTTTATTGGAACATAATTATGATACCTTTTTACCATAAACATTGTTAATTAGTCTTTTTAAAAAATTAAATTGATTAGTATGACGAAAGTATTACATTCTTATAAAAATGAATTAATAGGCAGAAATATGGTAATGTGATTTTTTCTCATGATCCATGTCTAACTTAAACATAAAACTTACAAAAAAAAAAGCCTTTGAGAATAAAGGTTTGTTTATTTTTCATTTTTAGAATTCAAGAAGATTTGAAAAATGTACAAGTATGAGCATTCTTTTAATCGAAGCATTCTATGGTGGTTCACACAAGCAGCTGGCAGATCTTCTACAGGAAGAGATAGAAGAATGTGTCCTTTACACACTCCCTGCAAAGAAATGGCATTGGAGAGCACGGACTGCTGCCCTCTATTTCATGCAAACTGTGCCAGCTAATGCTAATTACAGGTAAAGTTAGTAACAAATAATCTTTCAGGTCAAAGTATGAAAGGGTTTTCAACCAGGTCTCTAAAATGGAGCTTGCTGGGGTTTTGCATACAAAATCATGCATAAATACAAATGAGTAGTCAGGTGAGATATTAACCTTGTTTGTGGAAAGTTCCAGGCATCCTTTTAAAAGCCTCTAGAAAAATATTGGTTCTATCTCTCTAACACTGCAGAATCTCTATCTTAAATTGTGATAACTTGCCACGATGTAAGTATATTTCTTTTCAATTCTCTAATGAGTTTAGAGCTGGCAGCTGTTGAGACTGAAGTACTATAGTTCCACAAATCACCAGTGTAATGCATAGGCACTAGCAGTGCACCTAAAGGAATCAGAGGGAGGGTAGTACAGTATTTGACTATTCAGAACTTGATCACTGTAATGTTACCATATGTAAGGATGTTTGTTTCTTTAAAGACACAGGACTCGAATTCTGTGAAATTGTCCCAAGCAGAGCTCCAGTAAATATTTTCATCACCCCTGGAAGTTTCATAGTATGTTGGTGGGGAGACATGGGGAGCTCTGGGAAATACTCTGAGAATTTAAGTTCTGTGTGGAAACTTAATAAGTTAACCCTGAATTCAGACCATCAAACTAGATACATACAGACCATCAAGTGGCCATTCTATAGTGAAAACTTCCAGTCATTTATGAACTTGCTGGTCTTAAAATCAGCCATTCATCAAGCCCTCTCACAGTCAAGATGATGTCATTGTTATCATTTTATTGACTTACACAAAAGCCTTCCTGCTGCATAGTATCTAATAGCGTGGACTTCTGCACCAAGACCATAATACAGACTCAGTGGATCTCTGTCAGAGTGCAGATGTTTGTACAGATCCTAGTTGAGAACTGGGGCTAATGTTTGCAACTTCCAGTGATACCAAGTAAAGATATTAGACACAGATGGAGAGGAGGATGAGTTTTGCAACAAGTATCCTGTGCTGCATATTATTACATATTACATTAGATCAATCACAAATGAACACCTAACATCTTTAAGCAGGGGCAGTATTTGGCTGGTTGGCCCGTTGAATGAAGGGAATAGTGTTTATGGCTGGGGAGAAATGGGGAGATGAAAACTGTTGCAAAAGGGTCAGTACGATCATTGACTCGTCCCTGAGGAACGCAGGGTTTGAAAGGGACAGTCTACACCTGAAATATCCCTTTTACATGGAGCAGGCTGAAGCAGGACCCACCCTTCCTAACATTAAAGTGGTAAAATATTAGGTTTGGTCAAAACCTGCTGTGGGGTAGCTCATGTAATGCCCTTTTCTGAGGAGTCTGGGAAGGAATTTTTCCCTTACTATCATATTGGCTTGGGTGCAATTGGGGGTTTTTTCATCTTCCCCACAGTAGGTTCATGAAGGGATCATTTGTGCATGGCATGAAGTGTGGTTGGCCTTATGTCACAACTTCTTATTTATATGTATGGCAGTTGTTCAGTGCAGGTAAAGATATACAGGGACTGGATAAATGGCTCAAAAAAGAAATTAAAAAGAGGTGTTCAGTAAAGGAACGAATGAAGAGCAGTTGGGGACTCCTGTGATTGGCATGGGAGTAAGCCAACCCACCATACTTATAGTCCACCTTAACCCTCCTTTAAGTGGGGGTGGATGATAAGATCCTAGCAATGGATTTGCTGGAGAGACCTAGATCAGAAAAGAAGGGAAATTGCTAAAAGCCTTCTGAGTAATTGCAGAATAAATATGGGGTTACCTGCACTGTACACTTTTGTCTGCCAGAGTGTCCTAGACATCTAAAAATAAAGTTGCAGCTGGATTAAACCCATGATTGGGATAGCTGGACAGTTGTGGAGCATATTTTAATCTTACATCGTTTCTGAACAGTTTGAATATATTAAATACTACTGCAGAAAATACACCTGTATGAGGCTTTCTACTTGCTTTCATTTGAAATAAACTGCTTCCAAATTATTGTAAATGGGTTTTTACTCTGTGTTGCTTGAGGCATTTGAGTGGGTTTTCCATTACTCTTCCTTTGCCACAATTTTATTTTGGAGGAGTATATATATGACAAACTGTTATGTAAATTTCTTCTGCATCACAACCACAGCCTCCAACGCCTCACAATGTTATCTATGCTCCTTCAAGGTCAGCAGCCCAAGCTGTCCAGCACTAGCTGTATTAAACTAATCAGACATCATTCACAGGCATACACTTCATTAGTTTAACTTACAGTTACATTGACCCAAGATAACTTAACTCCAATTTGTCAAGTAACCTACATCTTAAGAAAAAAAATACCAGCAGCTTGAAAACTTGCTCAAAGTTAAAAAACTTGCAATCTGTCATAGGCTTATGTGCAAATATAACCTTCACTGACAACAAATAAATCTGAACTAACCAACAGAGCATCTTAAAAGGAGGGAAAGTGTTTTCTTTGTCACTGTTTGATCACATAGAATCAAATAATCAAAGTTCATAAAGATACAATATTAAAAAGGGTATGTACTGTATCATTGTGTGCATGATAAAATAATCGGGAACAAGTGCAGATGTGACTCATGAGAGAAAAACTGATTAGATGTACTTTCTATTTTACTTCCACATTTTCTTATGTTTAGTTTGTAATTAAATGAAAGAATAAATGCATCCATCTGCCGTATAAGATTGACTCCATTTTCTCCTACTGGACAACAACCTTGATTTTGTTATTTCTAGTTGACTGTCATGCAAACACCCATGTAGCAAATGCTCTGCTTCCCATCCAGTAGTAAATTGTCGAGACTCTGAATTAACAGATTGAAACTGCACTCTGGAAACTTTGAGAGACATATATTTAGAAAGAGATTTTTTTCTTAGCTCTAGAGAGGTGATTGAAAACATTACATTTGTATATACAGACACTATTTGTGACTCTGCCCTAAGATCAGGAATTGCTTTTACTTCCACATGCTCGTTAAGTAGAAATCAGTAACATTTCGTAAACATTGTGCTACAGTGAGTATCCAATGAAATAGGAGGGTTGCATATGTTTGAAATCCAGAATCACTTTGTAATTGTGTACAGTTTTAACTGCTCTAGTCTGGCACTCTTGGAACCTGACCGGTGCTGAACCAAAGAATTTGCCAAACCATGGGAGGCCAATATCATCCAACAGCATTACCAACACTTCCATGGTTTACTGGGCTCTTAGAAGATATTTAGGGGTAAATTAGGGGTAAATAACAGCACAGAATACTGAGAGCCAGAACTAATGGCTGTAAACAAACTTTATGGGATCACAGCTAACTTGGCCACACTCATGATAGGTGGATATCCAGCTAACTAAAATTATTCCAGACCATAGATGTTGCTGGATTAGAGAGGTTCACCTTGTATTGCCAAAAAAATTAATGTTCTTTGTCCCTTTATCTTTCAAGATACATCATCTATTCAGGGTGTTGATGTTGATGTAAAAGGGCTGCCCAACAATATGGTATAAATCTATACAGCACTAGTATGTGCTCCTGAGAATAATACTGCTGTTGCTAATCATGGAAAAAGAAGCAGACCAACTAGTGCTCAGATATTATTAAAATAACTAAATAAAAGTATAAGAAATGTTTTTGAAGGAGAGCATGAAATAGTCTCAGGAATGCTGGATTTTAAATATAGAAGTATTACTGTGACCAGTCAGGTTCAGTGGTAACGATTTGCTTTTCTTATCGGAGAGCAGACATGCAGTCTCCTGAGGAAATCTTAAAAGTTGAATCAGTCATAAGCAATTAAGCTAGTCTTATTGTTTTTAATCCAAATTATATATTGTGTGGCCTGGTGACCAGGTAGGTAGTGAGCACCTTGTGTTTTCAGGAAGGACCTCTGGGAATCATGTGGAAATAAAAAAGGTTGAAGAGATGGTCATAGAGATGATGCTTTCAGTTTTCATAGGGTAAGGCATACTATGTAAAAGCCCTGGGGTTGTTTATTTGCAATCTATATGACTTACCAGACACAAAGAATATGTGGTATTCTTATAAATAAAATGCAGTTAATAATATAAGTGGATGATTTTCTACAGAAGGAAAGAAAAAGGTAGATATGCTTGGCTCAGTTAAGTGCCATGAAGCCAGTGCAAATCTTCATTCACTACCTTAATGAAATACAAAACCTTGATGAGGATCAGGCCAGGAGAAAAAGCCATTGCTTTATCCCAAGTGGACTTTGGTAATAAACCTAAAGATGATTGATGTACTAGAGCAGTGGTACTCCACTTTTAAGAACTTGCTTGAAAGAATTGCTTTGCAGTGGCCTATATGATCATTCCATAAAGTGCTGACCAGACCTGAAATGTCTGAGGGCACGTCTAGACTGTTATATTTTCAAAAGAGGATATGCAAATTATGTGGGAATTTGCATATCTTCTTCTGATTGCTTTTTCAAAAGTGGGTCTTTCAAAAGTGAAAGTAGTCTGGATGCAGTCTTTTCAGGAAAAAA